AAGCAAACAAAGAAGAAGTTACAAACAAGACTACCATATATATTTAGTTCTATATGTATATGTTTGCCTGCAGATGGTCTGAGTTAAGAGGGAAGAGAAGAATGGAGGTTAGATATTAGGATCAGAAACACGTGAGAAGCATGCAAAGTTTAGTCTCTGTTAAAAAATTCACCATAGTAAGGGATATGACCAATAGTGCACCATGTGAAAGAAATAGAATCATTTTGAGTGCAAGTCAAAATAATAGTGGACTATTGTGAGCCTTTTCTCCTTTACAATACATTAGGACATTTTTAAGCCCTTTTCGTTCAGAGTTTGAATTTAACTACTCTCATATAACTCATTTATCTTGTCTTTTAGAAAGAAGAAGAAATCCTATTTCTCACACAAAAATTATATATTTTCATTATCAAATTTTAATGCTCATAAGAACTCTTGGATACCATTCGGGAGATTTCTTGTTCTTTTTCTCTTTTCCTTTCATAAATGTAAATGTTACAAATACCTGCAGACACGCCATTAGATTTGTGTAAATTTAATTTGTATCACCTAAATCTTGATGTAAAATCAAATTAGATGATTTGAAAATTTTCAAAATAATGCAATTGACATATTTCAAATGGCTAAATATCTTCCTGATTATGAATGCATGTTTATTAGAATTATTTTTTTCACAACTTCCTCTAATTTCATTTTAAAGATGTAGCTAATTGATTTCCATTTATATCATTTTATTGGCTACTGAAAGACGAGGTAAATGGCTTTAACATGCAAAGGTAAAAGATCATCTTCAAAAATAAAAAAATCATTTTAAAAAAAATAACAAGTACTACATAATGTTTCAATGTTACTTTAGTGTGTATAATAAATAACAGTAAGAGTCGCGTTTTCTGTGAATTCATAGACTTGTGAACATTAGCAAATGTTTAGTTGATCACTTTACTGATTAGACACTTAAAATGATTGCAGATTGTGTAATCTTAGAATTTTACGAGAGAGGTTAGTTGAAGGAATATAAAAGTCAAGTAATTTAGAGAATCTACATCTCTTAAGTCTTCAAAGAAGACGGAAGACGGCGTCGATCGTTACTAAAATCCTCTCTGAAAAACAAAGAAATATTAAATGTAATTCTATATTGGATAGAATTTTCTAGCCAATTTTAACTTTGATACTTATAGAAAGAAAATTAATTAATCAATTTGCATAAGCTGCCGTTCAAGTAATAGAAATGCACTAAACGAGGTGAATCTTAGAAAATGACTGACCTCACACAGTGTACTAGATCCACATAAATGCTCTTTTTCATTGTCACTCTCCATATAACGTGGTCTATAGTTCAGGGGTTAGCAATAACTGTCCACAATACCCCATAATTTAAGTGTTAAACTGGAAAACGTGAATAATTTAGGGAGTTTAGAGGTATTAACTCAAAAGAAAATCTCACTTAGATTTGTTTTTTTGTCATTTATAAAAAGCAGGTAGGATAGTAGAAAAGGAAAAAAATGTTAAAGATTGTTGACCAAAATCAATTTACAGGTGGATGACATATCCATTTACATTTGACCAAGATTTCGTATACGAATCTCACTCCTCATCAAAGCACATAACATCCCGTAATTTTCACCCAATATTTTTTGCACACACTGAAGTGAATAAATAATCTAAAGGTATATCCTAAATCTCTCTCTGTCTTGTCTTCTTCTTACATTCTCTAAGAATGTTTTTCTGATTAATTCTTTACTCATGTCGGATCTTGATTCCATAAGTTGTTGTGGGTGTTTAAGGAATTCGGTGTACAACTTGTGGAATTATTTTCTTCTTTTTCAAGCTATTTGATTTTTTCCCATACAAATATGAATTAAAGGTTCTCTAAATTTTTATATCTTGATTTCCTGTGTTTCAACTATTAGTAACTTAGTGTGGTATGATAAATTTTTTTTTTTTGTTATTAACATTTAGCTCTTTGTCAAGGTTGGTTTTGATTTACTGAATTTTTATTTTTGTTTAAATAACAATTCAATTTGAGTCTTGCAATCAAGAATGTAGCTTCTTTTGATGTTTTTACCGACTTCTCATCGTTATCCATAAAAATTGTAACATCATTTTTTGACCTGTATAGATTTAATACAAATGGTGCTTTGGTTATTCCATCTTTTCTTTTCTCAAAAAGAGATTTGGATTTTGACTAGTATAGATTTAATACATATAAGCTCCGTAGATAGAGGATTAGTAGTTTATATGAGAGAAAAGATTGATTTAGGTTTCATATCAACTGCTAAAATATTAATGTTAGTTCCCTCTCTATGGAAATCAGTCGGCAACTAGCAGTTTAGAGGCAAACATCACTCATGCCTCATTTCTTTGCACTTAATGGAGGTCTTAATGTGAATTGTTCAAATTCAGACAATTAAGTGCATTTGTTTGTAAGATCTGAATCTTAATCATTCAGATTCAACCCATTAAGTGTAGTTGTTTTTGTTTTGTTTAAAACTGCTTAATGAATCTTATTAGGTCTAAATGCATTAGATCTATAACAAAATCTTAATATTATTCAGACTCGTTTAAAATAACACTCTTTATGTCACAAAAACTTCCATGCCTCTTGCTTCTCTTCTCTACCATGTTTTCAAGCTTCTCCCCCTCCTTACCCAAATAGATACCAATCTTTTTATTCTTGAATTGGTATGTTTTTATAATCTTTACCAGTATTTTTTTATGGTATTTCTGATATTCACAACATTTTTGGGTGTATTGATGTTTATCAAGAACTCCTATTACCACAAATATTTTTGTCTAGCGTTATCAACTGTGCATAGACTCCAAGACATCTTGGCATCTCTTAATCTTTGTGGCATCACCAACTTACATTTAAAAAAAAATAGGAACATGTTCCATTGATCATATGCTCATGGGCAGTGAAAAAACAGGCGGTTGACTGTCTCCTGAGTTGTCTTGCAAAATAGCATATGTTGACCACCTACAATCCTTACCTATTCAGGTTGTCTAGAGTAAGGCATGCATTGTCTAGTTTGATCCAGCTGAAGCACTTAATCTTCATAGGTAGATTGGTCTTCCATACTAATTTATGTGGCCATCTAACAAGTACTTGACTTTGTGAGCATAGTTGTCTATAACATTCTTTCACTGTAAAATGCACCTTTGCTTCCCCATCTTAGCCTATCTGGTTCACTTTCATCAATACTGTGAGCTTCCACCTTTGCTAACATTTCCATGTAACTCCCATTACATAAAAATTAAAATCCTAGGTATTCCCTTTAGTCCAACTCTCAATAGTGTATGAAATAATTATCCCAAAGCATCCCAATAACTTCTCTCCACTGAAGTCACCTCATGTTGCTTGGGTTCAATTAAATTGCATTCTTTAGCTTGTATGTTGCCCGAATGAATTATAGAAATTCATGGGGATTCACACTTGGTCTATGAGCTCCCATTGGCTAATTTAAAAATATATTTTGCTGCACAGATTCATATATTTATAGGTTTATATACAATTCTTATGGTAAAGATACATTTGCTTTAAGGCCCTCTTTTGTTTTTTGTTTTAAGAAAATCAGAAAGGGCTTCCGGTACACTGGCTAGAACTATGCTTGAATTTTTGTTATAAAATGTAAGTGAAAGGAAACGAGGAAGCTAAGATTATATTTTTTCTGTTAAGCTAAAAAACATCACTAAATATATCAAGAAGATGCAGAAGAGAACATTTGAGCTTAGAAATTAATGAAATGAAAGTTAAGAGAAAAGCGTAAGGAAATTTCAGAATTAAATTTCCTTACTTTAATTGCAAGGCAATTGAAAAATGTATGGAAATTGGGTTGGAGGGATATACCGTATAAGGTAGGATATTACGGATTTACCTTTGATGAGAAATGGTTGAGATCACTGGCCAAGTTAAGTTAGAGACAGTTTTAGTAGAAGTGACCATCCTCCATGTTAGCGAAGAATAACAACACTAGGTTTACGAGGAACATAACGCGAGTTCCAATATGTTCTTTGATTTTGCATGATTTTACTCTCAATAATGATTATTTTTATCTAAAATGTGATACTTTCGTTAGCTATGCCAACAAGGACTTAGTTCTCTATCGTTATCTACAACCAACTTAAGTTCCAGGTTATATTTTCGTAGTTTCTTCGCTTTTGGGCATCACAGTACTCCTTGAATGTATTTGTACTCTCTTCTATGTTTCTTTATATTGCGGGGATTAACTTTTTATTCTTCATGGTCTGAGTATATTCACAAGAACACAAATAACAATAAGCAACATCAATTTGATGTCACAAGTTCAAATATTCTACTTGGATCTAGAGAAGTAATAACCTTTCTTGGTTCTACAGGAACTTAGGAGATTGAAGCTTTTATGATGTCTTTTCAAAAAGAAGAAAAGATTGAAGTTGTTGTGATGGAAGAAGGAAATTCTCCTGTAAAGAGATGGGAGGACCTTAATATTGATATGCTGGTGAAGATATTCCAGTCCTTCGATCTTTTCCAGTTAATCTCTGTAATTCCTCAATTTTGTCCTGCTTTGTAATTGGCTTGTTCTGATCAACATCTCTGGAAAACGCTGGACTTGTCAGTAATGCAGTCAAATTTCATCAGAATTTCAATACCGCCGTATGTATTTGTCGACACTCCATCTCATGAAAAATTGACCCACATCCTAAAGATTTGCTTGAACCATTGTTGTGGAAACATACTGACATTGATCTTCCATTATAATTTATATGTTGACAACAATCAGTTGACTTATAGTGCCAAAAGGTATTCCCCAGATAAACTTTAATCTTGCTATAGTATTGTACCTTAAATCAAGAAACTATATAGCAAGCATCGCATCTGAGATAATTTGGATAGCTAATTAAATTTCCTCTTTTTCAGGTGTCCACGGCTTAAACGCCTTGTTATGCCTACATGACAAAAACTAGAAAAGCAAACAATATGCAGTGCTTTTCATGAATGGAAAGATCTTGAATCACTGACGATGCCTAGTTTAGAAGAACTTGCCTATGTCATCGACAAAATTGGAAGGATTTGCAAAAAAAATTCTGAGCTCAAGATTATGACTCCCTGCGATATATTGTTTGCATTTGCACTGGTCTCATTTCTTCCAAACTTGAAAGTGTTGAGTGTGAGGTGTACAGAGTTATCTAAACCTGCTTTGGTTATTCTCTTGGAGGGATTAAAAAAGTTGAAAGTGCTCAACATATCACATTGCAGAATTACTGAATACCTTCCTCCACCCGCACCAATGAAAATTCTGACCGAGCTTGATGAATTTATTCTGGAAAAAGCGTCTAGGTTAGACAAATTCTTAACCTGCATGAGTGACTCGTGCATCATGTGTCAGCGCACTCGAAATGATGAAGGGTTCATGACGTGGTATAAGTATGCAGACCTCTGGAAATTGGATGAGGTGAAGTCTTTTGCAATTTGAAAACTTTAAGAATATTTTTCTTCATTAGTTGAAGGTACAGTATAATCTGTAAAACTTGTGTGTACGAAACACAATTAAACCTTGATTTTATGTATTTGTTATCAATTTATGTATGTATGTATTGGCAAGTGTTGTTGACAAGCATTTGGGAGTATAAAGTAATATTTTTTAAAAGCACTGTCGGAAAAAAAAACACAATGTCAAAATAAGTTAGATTTTAGAAATTTGGCCAATATGTTATTATTCTTCTACATTGTTTTGCGAGTTTTGTACATAAATTCCTTGGAGAAGATGACATGTTATGTGAGCATCACACTTAAAAAGCTCTTTTAAAGAGTTTGACATTATATGTGAATTTTTACTTTTCACTTTTGAGTTAATTAGGTTAAAATAATCCCAAATTATTACCATTTCGCTAATTTCAAACCCAAATGATAAAATATTCCCCAAACCCTATGAATAATCATGAATTCATTGGGTAAGGTGGACTCATTTTAAGATTTTTTATTTTCTTTCCTTAGTTTCGCATCAAATTATTTCAATATTTTAGTACACATTCACAAAGGGGGTTTTCAATTTAAAGAGAATCATAGTCCATGAGGTAATAAAAATATTTAATAATTTAAATATGAAACTGTAAAATGATAGTAATAATTGTGATTTTTAAAATCTATTCGGTCTATTTACTATGTTATTGTAACACCCGAGAAGTCTAAAATCCATATCAGATTTAGAAGGTTCATAAATTAAGTTTGCAGAAATTTTTTGGGATCTACAAGCAGCATCTACACGTCATAGATTGAACCACGAACCATAGATAAGGCTCGTAGAATCAACTTCAGAAGTAGGACGATAGAGAATGTAATGGGTTGATGAAGAGATGTGGTCTTGTGCAAGATTGAGGAATTTTATTGATATTGAGACTTGTAGCATGTGTTTTTGAGTTGAGCATTGCATTATATTAGCATGTTTGTTGCATTCTACTTCCTTTTATTATATTAGCATACTCACTCAGCTTATTTCATGATTTTTTGTAAATGATGTTTGAAAAGACTTGCATATGGATTTCACTGATTTTTGACAAGATCTGACGTATTTCATACTTCATAATGTCATGGATAGAAAAAATTAGCTGTTAGTGGACAAAAATGTAGACAAATATATGGAGCTCGCGAGTCTCCCATGGGTCCCACCTTCTAGCATGCCACTGTGGAGAATGTATATCAGAAGATTTATTTGGTCATTACATCATATTTCATTATAGGAAAAAGGTTCAAATATACCATTGAACTATTAGAAATGACTCATCTATGTCATCCGTTAAACGTTGGGCTCATCTATGCACTACCATTATAAGAAGGTTCATTTGTGCCATTATTTTTTAACAAAAAATATAATCTAATTTTGCAAAAATATTCATGCCACATGGCATATTATACGAGGTCCACATCACCTAATTAAAAAGACCCACTATTTAATTAAAATAAAAATTAAATATTATTTAGCTAAAAAATAATGGCATGAATGAGTCATTTTTGTAACGGCAGTGACATAGATGAAACCAACTTTTAACGCAAAGCATTTATGAGTCATTTTTAATAGTTTAATGGCATATTTGAACCTTTTCCATTAAAATTATGTTATTTTAAGTTGGTTATTTAAAGCCGTATATACTTAATAAAATTATTGAGAGACTATTTTCAACTAGAATTTTCAATCTTTTTTGCTGTGCTATCTTTTAAGAAATCAAAAAAATATATTTTATATGGTGATTGTTATTTGCAGTTTTGATGATTTGACAAACCATGGGACCTTGTAAAGGAACCTGATCCCTGTGTTAATGTACACACAAATGCCAGGCTGTAAAAAGTACAATTGGTTGGTGCACAGTCTCAAACTGTGGCAGAAACCTCGGCCAATGGTATGGCCTCGAAGGTTGTGTCTATTATTCATAAAGGTTATGTAAAATAGACACAACCTTAGTTTTTGCATCTTGAAAATTCTCAAGTATACAAGCAAAGACCATCTCGGTAAAGAATCATCCTCAAGAGCATCAAGGACCTGATAGAGCTGTAAGCGGTCTAGTTGTCTTAGGATTATATCTTATATGCTTTCATTGTAAATCTGTTCCTAATCTATAAAGGATTCAGATCTTTGTTCCGTTTGTAAAAGTTGAAATCGGTTAGAGTTAACTGATTTAGTGGGCAGTGTGGTATCTGCTTAGTTGAAGTCTAAGTTATCTAGGGTTGATAGCTTAGTGGGCAGTGTGGTATCTTCTTAGGCTCAGTAAGTAATAAAGTTATTACTTATCTTTGAGATTAATAGCTTAATCTCATTTGGTATTGTATCTGTGTTTCACTTTTGCTTGAAGAGATTAGTGAAAACAGTTGAAAATCCTGTGTGACAGGTCGTGGTTTTACTCCATTGAGCAAGGAGGTTTCCACATAAACTGCTTGTGTGTTTTCTGTTCATTGTCTATTCTTTATTACTGTTCTTGTTGAGTCAAGAGACGTGGTCCATTGACTAATAGTGGACGCACATATTCTATCAATTGGTATCAGAGCAGGTGCTCTCTAGATGGTTAACACCAAGAGAGAGATTTATGTAGAAATATGGCTTCTCGACTGAATCTAGAAGAAGGACAATCATCAAGAAGACCACCTCGTTTCAATGGCCAGTTCTATATATGGTGAAACACAAGGATGCACAACTTCTTAATGGCTGAAGACAGCGAGTTGTGGGACATTGTGCTGGATGGACCCTTTATCCCAGCAATGGAAGTGAAGGATGGTTAAATCACAAAGGTCGTTCCTAAAACTCATCAACAGTACAATGAGGCAGATCGAGAAAATTTATAAAGCTAAGAAGTTTCTAGTGTGTGGTATAGGTGCTGAAGAATACAACCTCATCTCTGCTTGTGAGTCGGCAAAAGAAATTTGGGATTTTCTCAAAATAACTCATGAGGGAACAAAGCAAGTGAAGGAATCAAAGGTGGATATGCTGACCACCCAATATGAGAACTTCACAATGAAGGATGGGGAAACTATTCATGACATGCATACAAGATTCTCCTCCATAACCAACGAGCTACGATATTTGGGAGAACCTATCCATCCCAGTAAGTAGGTCAGGAAGATTCTTTGAATCCTTCCCAAGTCATGGGAAAGAAAAGTAGATGCCATTACTGAATCAAAGGACCTGAAGGTTTTGACGATGGATTCTCTGATTAGTAACCTTTAGACTAATGAAATGAATAGAAACCAAGACACTTCAAAGAAGGGGGGGGGGTAAAGAAAGATAAGTCTCTAGCTCTCAAGATCTCACCAGGTGAAATCTCCAGTGAAGATGAAGACATGGCTTATCTCACCAAGAGATTTCAAAAAAGATTGTGAGAAAGCATGGAGGTTTTCGAAAGGGAGGGAGCCCTCTTCGTGCTGCAAATGTAAGTGACTTATGTAACAAGTGTTGAAAGGAGAGACACTTCATGAGAGATTTTCTGATGCTCAAAGATGAAACCAAAGAGTATCAAAGACCTGGAGGTGAAAAAGATAAAAGAAGGGACCTGGTACCCGAGAATAATGCAAGAAAAGCTGCAGGTGACTATGTTGTGAAGAAAGCTTTTGCCGTCTGGGGGATTCTTCAAGTGAGTTAGGAAATTCATAATGTATGGATGATGAATCCATGTTAATTGTTAAAGATGATGAGAACATGTTTGATGGCTTGTTCTCCCTCATGGAAAAATCTGATGACGGGGAAGATGACGAAAAGGTAACTCTCCTTGACGTTAAACAAAACTTGAATACTTATTCTGTTAGAAGGTTGAGAAATCTTGCTTATGTTCCGATCGATTCTGTTATAGAGTTAACTACTGAAAAGGTCTCTATGAATAACAATCTAGATAAGTTTAGTGAAGAAAAGACAACCTTGATTGTCCACATGTCTGTTATCAAGGAACAATTGACGGTTCTAGAAACTGAAAATCTAAAACTCAAGGAACAATTGAGCATAATGAATGAGAAATCTGGCAAAAGAAAAGGGGAGGCCACTAGCTTGCAAATAAAGCTAGAAACCAGTTTGCTGAGACCAAACTTGCTCTAGCCTTGGAAAGGAATGATCAGATGGAGAGGGACCTGGTCCGTATTAGAGAAGAACTGAAAAATTCTCTAAAATGGACCAGCTCCACCAAGCTACTTTCTAACATCACCAGTCAAAGTAACTACAACAGGAAGGGGTTAGGTAGCTTGAACATTAGTCCTCCCTACAATCCCCACAGTAAATATGTGTCGGTGACAAATAATTTATTATATCTTCACTGTGGTCGCAATAGTCACCTGAAAAGGGACTTCCTTGCCTGGCAAGCCTTACAAGAAAAAATTTCAGTCTACTCTAGACAGAAAATAGCACAAAAAAGAGGACCTGCTCCTATTCCTAAGTCCTCAAATAGGAAAAGGACTAACCTGCCTCATTGGGCAAGAAGCACTCTTATTACGCCCTTATCAGCTTACTGGGAACTTAGATTAAAATGGGTTCCCAAGTCTAACAAGTGATCTTTGTTGCAGGGGAGTGAAGGAAGTAGCAGTTAGTGTTGGTTTATGGACAGTGGATGCTCGAAGCACATGACTGGGAAGACTGAAAACTTCCTTTCACTCAAGGCACTTCAAGGTGGAGGTGTCTCTTTTGGTGATGGAAAAATGGTATATTCTTGGAGTTGGCAGAATTAGGAAATCACTTGAACATTCTATTGAAAATGGTTACTACGTGAGTGGATTAAAATACAGTCTTCTTAGTGTTTCCCAGATTTATGACAATGGAAACGAGGTCAATTTATTATTAGAAAAATGCATTGTTACCAGCTTGTCAACTAAGGAGGTGATTCTGACGGCCAGAAGGTGGAAAAATATGTATGCGGTAGACCTGAACAAGGCTCAGGGAAACGATTTGACATGCCTCAACGCTCAAAGTGAAAATGCCAACTTATGGAATAAGAGGCTAGGTCATGT